CTTGGACACGAATGAGGAGTGTTTGACCTTCAGCTTGTCGCGCTTGGAGGATGGGTACGAGGGGATGCCGTCGGGCTTTGGGAGAGTTGCAGTGGTAGTCGTGGGACGGGCGGCGCGAGCGGACTTTGCGCGCGCTGTTGTGCGCTTCTTTATAGGCGCCTATTCGGTTAGTAAGTATTTATTTTATTATACAGAAGTTGCTAGAGAGACATACCATGGCTGTGTTGTGTGTAGAGAAAGTTGACTGGTTCCTGTCGCATAGGGCTCGTTTGCTGTTGCGCAAAAGTTCTTATCGATAACGACAAGTGCCGACGTCAACCACCCGGCCCGTGCGACCTTCACAGACACTGGACGTACAACTCGGCTTCCGTCTCAGAACCCTCCATCCGGATGTAACTTCGCGGCTACACGAGATTCACGACTTCATACGCAGCTGCAACTGTATGACCTTCTCCGACGTGGTTCAACGGGCACATCGCCTCAGTGAGCTACCACGCCTCCTCATCGTGCCCCTTTGCTCATCCTTGTCGCATCTACCGGGCTAAGTCATGTGTTTCACTCTTCACAGACTTCCTGTCATCATGTACACGCTCGTGGTGCTTGAGGCAACGCGTTCAACTCCGCCAGGATGAAGTCCGAAGAGCTGCCTCACTCGACGCCACCAACGGCGAGTCGGACTCCGCACCAAACAGCAAACAGCAGCTCTTCTCGCAGCCGAGTCATCTAGTCATGCTTCGACCTGGGGCAGGACTGCTTTATGAAACACTCCGATAAGACTGCAGCATATCGGACTTGGCTAGGTGCGGCCCGTTCCCGACCACCAACTATTGGCTGTCTGTCGCATAACGATCCTCGTTGTGATCACCTATGATGCACTAAGATGGCATGATTTTCCCTCGTTTTGTTTCTTGCAGGGTTCACTCCAGTAGAACATGTCATAGAAGCGATTGCCACAGGCAAGTCAAGGTATACGAGAGAGTATTGCTTTTTCACAACCCCAAACCTGTCCTGAAACGCTATCATCTAACCTCAGCTGCCACCATCTGCGGGTTGGCAGCGCTCCGGCATGTACAACATCCCCGTATCACTGTGGCGCCATCCTTCATCCCAACACTACGGACCTGGGCTCAGCTCCACGACGGCCGTCTAGCCTAGATGCAGGCACGCGTGCGACCGATCAGCATCGAATCCCGCCCACTGCCGTCATGTTGTTCTACGATTCGCTGCGGATCGCGACTCATATCCCTTCCGCTTCTATTTGTGGTTCTCTAGACGAAACTATACGAACCCCTCGTCGTCTCTGCCGCGACAAAAGGCAATCATTCGCATGAAATGCAAGACGCGTAGTCCTGGTGACTCGGACTTTAAGGGAGCATTACGAACAGCGTATGCAGCTTGTCCGAAGTTCGAGAACATCTGGCCCTATTCATCTCCTTGTAGCCGCCAACATGCTATTTCGATAAAGATTCATCAAGGCTCATTTCAATGCAATCTCCGAACCGCGCAAGACACGATGTGCGAACAAGCCCAGCATGAGAATGCGCTCATTTCAGCTCAGAATCATGGTACTATTCTGGTAATGGTAGCTTGGTTTCTTGCTTGCCTATTGGTACGAGTTCCCTCTTGGTATCCATCTCAATGCTGATCATTGTCATAGGCTATATGCACTGTAGCAAGAGTCGTCGCTCGATACAGATCTGAACACCTTCGCCATCTCTCGTCGACAGATGACGTCATTATCGTTACCGCATCGGTCTTTGCCCTTGGAAGCACCGTGATAATATCCACGGCTGTTGAATCGGGCCTGGGGAAGAGGGACTGTCTCCTCAGCGATGATGACTTGGAGCAAATCCAACTCAAGCTTTATGTTACCACGATACTCTTCGTTTTGACAATAAGCATCGCCAAAAGCTCGGTCCTACTGTTCCTCTATCATCTAGCAGATAGCACACTACGCAGGGCAAGCGTTCTACTAGTTAGTACACTGGTATTGATATGGACCATTGCAGTCTTGGCAGGCATGGTCTTTCAGTGTGAGCTACCGACGCCGTGGCTGGTGTGGACGGGGAAGTGTATCCCCTTGGTAAGTCCGGTTGTCATATCGTAACTGAACTCGTTCTAAGTATAGTACAGATACCTTTCTGGATGATCGCCACCATCACGGATACTGTTCTAGAAACAGCAGTGATCACTCTCTCGGTACATCACATATGGACACTGCAGGAATCCTACCGCCAAAAGGCCTTGGCGACACTACTATTGTCCATGCGCTTCATGTAAGCAAAGGACCTAATACTCAGCTGAGACCTTGCTGACGTCCCGTGTAGCTTAGTTGCAGCATCTATCATTCGTCTGGTTTATCTTCGACAAGCATACGATCGCAACGGAGACCCCGCTTTCGATTCTTTACCGTACGCCGTGGTCACACAAGGCCAGACGACACTGGCCGTTCTCATCGTTTGCAGTCTCTGCCTCAAGCCATACTCTCACTTCCAAGCATCCCAATCGCCGGCCCCCAAACCCAAATCAAGACACTCGAAAAAATGGTCTGGTAGCATCACCATCGGTGGCACGCCCTACGAATCATACAAGTCGTTCCCACAACCGATCATACGAGAACCTCTGCTTGCTATACAAGCGAGCATGTCAACACCCAATTCCCCGGCAGGATCCAGGCACTCACTGAACGAAGATATACTGCTGCCAGATACACCGATACCCGCGCGATCTGCTAGAAGACCTCCTCGGCCTCCTCCACCAAGCGAGGAGCAAAGACCTGATCTAAGTATGTTCACTCGAAGTCCTACCACACAACAGGCGCCAGTAGTGACGAAACTCACTGTTTGTCAAGAGAGAGAAAAGGGAATGGACTTGAAGTCAAGGGGCTTATTGATCCGATAGAGCACATATATCTCTGTTCGTCCAAAATAGTTATAATGTATTCTGCTGGGCGGTTGCGACAAGTAGCTACAATGAATAATGCATTAGCCGATGTACCTTCATGCATCCGTTCCATGAATCTACATTTTACACCACCACCCCTCCATCAAGCCCACCACCCAATCAGCGCCATAACCGCCGCCCCAAGAAACACATACCCAACCATCAACCCCAGCCTGCCCAAATCCTTCGTCCTCTCCCTATCAAACAAAAAGTCCTTAGCCAACAACTCCACCAACCCACTGTATATCAGAAACCCCGCACTAACCGCATTCAACACGCCTTGCACCATCAAACTGACCTTGCTCTCCGGCAGATACGTCATCCTAACGCCCAGCCCCACGGCAATAGCCAGCGGCGTCGTGAGCCCATACAAGGCGCAAAGCGCCCACGGCATCCAGGTCTTGCCGCGCGGAAATGAGATACTAGATAAGCGGGCCCCGATGCCCAACCCTTCGAAGGACTGATGGAATACTAGAACCGGGTAGAGAGTTTTGAACTCGTCGCCGACGACGCCGAGGTTCAGGCCGATGATGACGGAGTGGAATATGATTCCGAATTCGAGGACGAGAAACGCGCCGATTTGTTGGGCGAAGGAGAGGCGGGCTGCTGTTGAGGTGGTGCAGAGCGAGGCTTCAGAGTGGTAGCTGCGAAGGCTTGCCGTGTGTTTCCGGTGGTGGTCTTGATCCCCGTTTTGGTGGTCTTGAGTTGGGTTATTAGTGTTGGATTCTGGGTCCACCATGGCTACTGGTGCGACTCCGATGGTGGTGTTGTTGTTGTCAGAGCGAAGGAACGCGTTGTTGGAAACCTCGCTCTCTTCTTTCTTCACACCAAAATGCCGTTCGACATATACTTCTGCTCCTAGATCTACGCAGAACACTGCCATTATGGACGTCAGCACTATGGCTGCACACCATGGATACTCCGCCCATGCTCCGCTTTCTCCCACACAACTCCCCGGGCCTATTGCTTCGTACGCCGGATCTAGCAGGTGGATGAACGCTGTTGCGACTATGACCCCCGAACCGAAGAAGCGCGCAAAGGTGTAGAGCCCGAACGGAATCTTCCAAGATGGTTTCTTGCGCGCGATGACGGGGAAGTAGGTTACGAGGGTGGAGACAAAGCCGATGACGAAGATGGACGATATTCTTGCGCCGAGCATGCCGTTGTATTCGTTCTCGCCAACGGTGAAGTAGCAGATTACTTCGGCTTTATCGGCTGTCGTGAGGTCGACGTTGGAGGGGTCGAATGCTTGTGTCGCCATGATGGGCGGGGAGAGAGAGGGGAGGTGGGTTGGAAGGAATGAGAGGTATTATGGACTTCAGAGACTCGGACAACGTTGTGTCTAGCTGTTCTAATTCGGAACTGCAATTGATGTCCTCAAGTTCTCAGTGTAGTTGCGGCTCTGACGTCGGGCATTTTATCGTCTGCATGCCAAGTACCTTGTTGGACGATTGACAGCAGGCATTTCAAGCCACTGAGAAAGTGCAGTGTGTATTGTACTGCCCATGTAGGTACCGAACTACTCGGTGCCCTCGGAATCTGTCCCGTTCAGGAAGTCGTAAACGTCGAAGCTTTTTTGACGTTGCTTCGTTGTTTCTGGTGTCTCATTACATATGAGGTCGTAAGTTTTTGCGCCTCTAGCTACCCTGCGTGTGTACATGTTGGGATATTTTGTACTCTGATATGCTTATTGAGATTCAGTCGTCATTGCTGCTAGCCTGGAGAAGACGTCTGACTGCGTTGTTGTAAGCGCTCGGTAATGGGTGTTGAGCGTGGTCGGTGCGTCGGAAGACATGCAGGTGTTCGCTTTTTTAACCCTACCTACCGCTTCTTTGCATATACATACTACTACCAACATACACATCAAAATTCTGTAGAGCTTGGAACGCTCCCTTGTACTCATGAGAATGAGTTGTACTCGAGACTATCGAAGCGACTGCTTTCTTGAGTGATGTAGTAGACAGGTGGTATTCAGATTCGTTTCCACAATCCAAACCTATCCTGACAATGCACCGAAATACCTCACACTCCCTCATGCCTTGACCCCATACACGCTTTCAGGTCTCCTCAGAGTACAAAGCCTTCATGTTCTGCAGATCAGAAATAATCCTATCGATCTGACCGACATCCTCCAATTCAACCACCTGCTGATAGATGCCCGCAACGCTGATATTCCAGTCTGTCGTCTCATCGTAGAACAAATCATACGACGTCACCGAGGACGGTCGCAGAGACAACTCATCTGAAGCCCCTACGGGCGGCGGACCAGGCGAGGAGAAGACAGAGGAGTGCGAGGGCGACGGCAAGAAACCTACGGGTGAACTTGGGGAGCGGAACGCGAGTGGCATAGGGCGGTCGGGCGCTGACGTTGTTAGTCAACATGAAGTTTACGGGGGTTTGACGGGGATGTAGCATACTGTTAGGTGGGTAATCGCCTCGTCCACCAGGTGAACCGAGGGATGTCGACCTCAACGCTTGTGATTCTATCACTTTTTCTCGCTGAAGGTGAAGTGAAGGCGGCAACTTGTCGATCCGCGGGCTAACTGGCGACGAGAAAGAACGTGTAGGCGTCGTAGTGCCCCCATGCGTGGGCGTGTCGGCGGCAGCTTGTCGCTTGAGGATCGTGGTGCGTGATTCACTAGAAGTAAGAAGTAGATGTTAGTTTGTGTAATGTGTGAAAGCAGCTATGACATTTGCATCTAGAACATGGGTGGTATTCTGGATGGTTATGAAACGCTGCTAGTAGTAGTAGTAGACATGGGCGGGAAGGTAGTCGGTGGTGAGGTGGGAGACAAGCGAGGGAGAGACATGGCAGAGGCATCTAGAACATTGCGTGACACCAAGCAGTGCCCGGGCAACGCAAGTTCCCAATGCGTGCGCATCTATGGAGGAGGATTTGTGAAGTGGGCTTAGCGTACGAGGGGCGGATGTCGTGGACGTCGCGGCAGAGTTCTTCGAGGCAGAAGTTGTTGAGGCGGGAGAGGTTGTAGCCCTATTCAGTAATCACATTAGCCAATCATATCTATACAACGGGTATCGAATGGGGACTCACGCGGTCAAGACCCAACTCTCTCAGATATTTCTTGGCCTCCTGGAAGTGCTCGTCGCTCTCTTTGATCCAGTAGCCGAAGAGAGAGAGGTGGACGTCGGCGATGGTCATATTACGGACTTCGTCGGCGTACTTCCTCACTTCTTCTGCACTGAGGTTGACGTGCAGGGACTCGTTGCGACGGTGGCGACTGCTGGGTGTAGGACTGGCGAGATCGTGGGCGACGTGTGTGCCTTCGCATTCTCCGCATTCGTCTCTGAAGCGCCGATTATCGACGCTGTCGTCGTAGTCATATTGAGAGTAGTCACCTGGGTCGGCGGTGAAGACGGTAGGGTGGTCGTGTCCGAGGCCTTGGAGCTTGACAAACTTTCGGTCTATGGACTTGTTAGTTTAAGGTTGGAGAAGAGGTTGAGGGTACGTACGACGCTCGCGGATTTTCTCTCTCTCGGCAACAGTCATGATATTACTAGGAGACGGAATGTCCGAGCTGACGAGTGTGGTCTGCTGACTTGCGCGCTCGGTCTCAACGCTTGTGTCTCTGCCCTCGGACTCGGAGCTCATGACCTGCGTCAATGGGCTAGTACTAGCGATACTACTACGGTTGCGCGCGAAGAGACTGCCAAAGTTCTTGATGCTACTCTTGCGATAAGCCTGGCGCTGTCCTTGGTCGTCGCACCCATTATCGCTAGTGTTCTCCTGCACTTTGGGAGGTTTCGGAACGAAGCTGTCTTTGCGATGCAAATTCTTCTGTGACTTGGCAAGCTGAGGGTATAGCGACGGTACTGATTTTGGCGAGAAGTTGGTCGCTGCCAGCGTCGCTTGCATCTGCGCGTGCGGGAAGTCCATGTTTTGAGTTCGGCGCGGCGGATACGTGTGCGTTCAAGGGAAAGGGAATGGAGATGTTGCTGAGAAAGACACGCGGATATAGACGTGGTCGTACGTAGACGACGTGACGGCGTTTGTCAAACTGCGATAGTGACCAAAAGGTAGCTTGCGCACTGACGTCAAAAGTGAAGGTGAATGTGAGCGTGAAGAGGAGTCGATATCGCTGGGTGACGTCCCAATTGAGCGATTGCGCGGCCCTTAGCGGACAGTGGAGGAAGATTGAAAGAGGGGGAGAAGATGTGAGGGTCTACCACGCGTACAACTTCCCGAAGGCTCAAGGAGTACAGATCTTACTTGAGATGAACGTGAGTCGATGCAAGATGAATATTCCATGATAAGGTTGAAGTGTTGGGCTTGTCGTCTTCTGAGTTTGTAGCACCACCTCATTAATTGAGACGCCAGTGGAGTGTAGGCTTCTAAGGATGCCTTTGACTCTTCTTCCGTGATTTCGTATTCATCTCTCCCAACGAGATCAGCTGCGCTCTTGTATATCATTTACAGTCTGGCTGAGACCGTCCGACCGGAGCGTGCTGCAGCATTCTCGTTATTTAGAACGCAGTTCGAGAGGCTTCTTGTCGGCCTGTACATTCAATGTCAGCTGAGCATCTTTCGACAAACTGTGCAATCTCCTGGAGGGACTTACTGCTTCGAGCGGGATGTTGTCACCTTCGCACATGACGAGAAGCGTAAAGTCTGGCAATTTGCTGCATGAAGTCTGAGTCCAGTTGTAAAGCATGTTCAGCGGACGTGTAAGGACCTGCGATGTCGGAGGACTCGCTGTCAATGATCCGAATTCGCAATGCGCTCAGACAAAGCCGAACACTATAGACTTCAGGATGACTGGCGTTGGAATCTAAGGACGTGACACAACCGTCGTGTGGAAGATGACCGACTGTGTTGTCGCCCAGCTGTATGGTTGATCACAGAGCATGAGATTAATCCTCACATGAGCTTCAGGAAATGATGAGTGTCAGCGAATTGGTGCTGGCATGAGGGGTGGCACCCATGAGACAACAAGACCAGGGTAAATTCGACGGAAAAGCCACTCATCTTGTGAAAGAAGTATAGTTGACACAAAGATGGAAGGAGACAGTATGCGAAACGGAACCTCGCTCCTGAGACGTCCTAGACTTCGTCTTGCTCATCTTACCTACGTCCACACAGTCTCATTCCAGGAGATTAAGAGCAAGCGCATTTCATCTGATGCAAGCTCCGAGCCTTCATGTGGTTCTCACTGATGAGAGAATTAACAGCGATAGACGGTCCAATTCACGGCAGTATGCAGGGCGATCAGGTGCAAATCCAACACTGTTGACGTCCCACACCCAGCGTTGGCTGCATCCAAAGGGCAAGTCATGCGCGGACAAACAAGTAGTGTTGCATGGTCAGATGAGGTTCAATGGAGACATACGTGCAAGCTGGAAGGGAGGGAGGGTCTGATGGCGGCTGTTGAGGGTGGTCCCGACGCAGAAAGTTCCTTGGCGACCCGCCCGCGGGCGTCTTCCAAGTTCCTGCTCCCCGCTCAAAGGGCCGATGCAACAACACGTAGGATCGACTTATCTCGGTCAATAGCCGTTGACAGTCAAGCTTCACCTGCATGCGGTTCCTTCTTGGACCTCGTCTCGGCGATCCTGACCCTGCGGACGGCCCGAGCTTCTGTCCCGCGGCCTGCGATGACTGCGACACGCAACATTTCCTATCAACTACCCGAACGGCTTAAGAGCAATCTGCAACAATCTCATCGCTTACCATGACCCCTCACGGACGCGCATCGGGTTAATCTAAAAAGGCTCTTTGACGCACGACTCTGTCTACAACTGGTATGGCATTCGTACACTCCCACCAGTAGCCTGCATGGATCAACCTCGCACGGCGCTTATGGGTGTTACACAACACTGCACAACGGTTTCTGCCGCGAGCAAGATGGGCTATACCCACTTTTCAACATCCTCGATATTGCGGCGCAGTCGTCCTTCACCAGACGCGCCGGACACTGCCCTAAGTTCTAGGTCGTCATGGTGGACAGGTTTGGCGTGACCTTCGACCACTCAGGCATTGGGGGCCAACTCTGATCAGCGAACTCATGATCCTAGCTCTAGGCTGAGCGCCTCGGGAACGAGAACTGGAGGAGCTTCAGGGCAGCGAACCATACACAAGAACGCCTTCTTCTTGTGGTCTGACATCAGGTCCGAGGAACTTACCTACACCTCGAAACGGGCAGCGGTCATGCTTAGGTGAAGGGGCTCGCAGGCTGAAAAGGTGCTTCGTCGCGCTGATTCGCTAGACCATGCAACAAAGTTGAGCGAATGGGGGCTGTGAGCCGCCTTGCGTCGAGACCGAACCACGACAGCAGATCCCAGCCGTTCAGGACAGCACCCGATGTTGGTCCACACCCCGGGTCCCCGTTGTTGGCACTTCCTATCCTGCAGGCGCTGCTCTATATGAATTGCGGCGTGGTTGATGCAAGTTGTCCGCCATCAGCCAATGAAGCGCTAAAGTTAGCGCCCCCGCGAGTTGGGTCGCCAATCATTCCCTACTTAGCCGCATATCCAACGTCCTTCATCCTTTAGGAGCTTTCCGTGCCATGTCGCGACGGCGGGGTCAGGACAGGCGGCTCTCGAGTCTTGACACGCGTTAAGACCAACGGGCGTAGTCCCACATTGCCACCTCAGTAGCAGGAATGCGCAGATAGATCTGTCAGCTGTAAACGGTGTGGTACGCACCGTCGCGGCGCGGATGACGCGTGTGTGGTGCATTCATATAACAAAAGTGTAGCCTGCAGATCATAGGTTGTACCGCTTTCAGCCCTCTGTTATCGTTCTGTTTCGTTTGGGGGCGCAGCTTTGGTCTCCTCTGCCGTCTGATTTACCCAGTTGACCGGTCTCGTTGCTACGCCGCAATACTCTCCTTTCGGTACTTACGTGTCTACGGGTGCCGCCTTCTTTTACATCCTTCGCCGCCGCCTTTCCCGCGCTTCTTTTCGTATCGTGCGTCTCGTTCGCACTATCACACAACGCCTCCGCGATTTAAGATTACTACCTTCATTGAAAAGCTTGTCCCTAACTTGGCACTGTCACACCCATAGACATGGCTACACTGTCGGTGCCGTCGCCTAGCCTGGGCTCGGGTTCATTGGGTGCCAGCATCCACAGACCGCTCTCCACTCACGGGCTGCCAAAGCAGCCGCGTACAATGTCACCCGAACGACCACATCGTTTCTCCGCAAAGTCCACAAAGAGCTATCCTCCTCCAGCTCTTGTACACACTCCCATGACACCACAATCCCTGGGACCAATGTCTCCCCCACCTATGTCAGCAAAGTCTTTCGGCACCTTCATCGACTCGGAGCCGTCGACGCCAGCCTACTCACCAAGGATGGACCACCAGTGGGACGACTCATCGGTGGTCCTAGTCCGTCCCATGTCCTCGTCTTCTGAACCTTCCAGCCCTACTGAGCCAGTATGGCGCATGTTACAACCACTGCCTGTGAAGGCCCCACCAAAGCCCAAAGCCAGCACCGTCAGAGCTCAGTCCAAAGAACCGGTCTCCTCTGCCAAGGAGATTTCATCACAGACATCGCTTTCATCGCACCCTACTAAGCAGGCGAGCTACGTCAATCGCCCCCACGCGATCAAGCTAGCAAGCCTATCACAACAAGATTTCCCCCCGAAGAGCGAAGACATTCCACAGGGTGATGTTACATCACCTCAGCCGACAGCCAGCACACCCACGGCGGCCGCCTTCGGGAAACTGGCAAACAAGATGAAGTTGATGCTCCGGCGTAAGAACACGAACGCAAAGAAAAAGGAGAAGAAGAAGCGAGAGTACGAAGAGGTCGACCGTATAGAGGATGTACACTGGACAGAGATGTGACTTCCACCTCACACCAAATGTTTCGAACATCTCAAAGTCCGACGTCTATTGCTACACACGGAGATGGGGAGGAGGCTGGACGCTGCGATTCCTCGCCGGTGTATCGTACGGAAGCATCCGGGAATTAATACAAGGCATCGGTGTCCGAAGGAAGATGGAACTGTATCAGAACTACACATCAAGACTGTTGCTTATACTCGTCCGGTCAGATTAATGAGCTGCTGGCCACCAACATCACTCTTGTCGGCGTATACGTGGCGTACTTGATGTTTCCCTTTGGTTTTGGGAGGCGTTTTGGATCCTTATGGCTTTCATGAGTTGCACAAGCAAGTAACGACGATACCCAATCCTTACCATAGCCTATTATTAGCAACTATCTTTTCATCACTAAACTCGTAAACACCACTGCCGATGACCATTGAGCGATGAGTTCTGACTAGAATCATCTATAATGATCACATAGAGACCACCAAACAGTTTGTATCCCACAAAGGCCTTCCAAATACTAGCCAGGGCGTGACTTTATAGACTCATCGTTTTCGTGCCAAGCACCTGCCCGATTGCTCCACGTGAAAGGGCGATCAAACTAGCGTGTGCACGGACCATCAAGTCTAAGCTCCACAACGCGCAAGAAGCAGAACACATCTCACCCAACTTGCCATACAGGTAACATTCTAGGTAAAATGATTCCAAGAAGGTTGGGAAGCGCTGTACGGCTCAAATGCGCCGGCAAAGCACAGCCTCAAAAGCGGTTACAGAGGCCACCAGCGGTGACGACCCGTGCTTTATGGCCACATACAGGACGCGTTCTGTCAAGTCCGTTATCACGTGCCTTCTCGCAGACAAGACTCCTACAAACCCATCCCGAGAGTTCAAGAACCAATGGAAGAGGCAATACCCTCTTCAACACGCGATGGAACCAACCAGCCAAGGACCCCACAGCCACACTCCTAGAATCGCGCTTCCCAACCAAAACCGTCCTTGTACTCCTCACCCTAGGCGGCCTAGCATACTACTTCGTCGACATAGTAGAAACCGACTGGACAGACAGCGTCTACGGCGCCTTCGAAACCGGCGACGATGCCTCCCAACTCGCCCAACCCCTCCACTTCTACTCCTCAAAAGAAGAAGTGCAACACATCCTCGACTTCCACATCCCAGACCCCAGCGCCCCGATGAAAGACCCCGCCGTAGCGAAGTTCTTCTCGGAGCAATTCGACAAGCTATGCTACGGATGGATGATGACGCCCGATGATTCGAAGAAGGGTGTCGAAGGCATGCCAGACGTGCAGATGCCCATAACACACGGATGTCGGTTCCGCAGTAACGAGCCATGTGAGGATTTCTTCGCATTAGGAACATCGCCTGGCCCCGGGCAGAATCTGTGGAATTACTGGACTGTACTAGATGGGCATGCAGGACGACACACGGCATTCTACCTCCAATGGACACTAATCCCCATGGTATCCTCCGCGCTCAGCACCCTAACACCGCACGCCTCGAGCCACCAAATCGAAAGCAGTATAAAAACCGCCTTCCTCGCCACGGACAAAAGTATCATGTCCCGCGCCAAAACAGCCGCAGCCTGGTTCCCAGCCGCCAACGCCGCCGCCATCGCCGCGCTCACACCCGCTTTCTCTGGGTCCTGCGCCTTACTCGCTGCATTCGATCCCCAGACCTCCAAGTTACGCGTAGCATGTACAGGAGACTCCCGCGCCGTCCTCGGCCGCTGGGACCCCTCCACGCACACCTACACTGCCATCCCCCTCTCGGAAGACCAAACCGGCTTCAACACCAAGGAAGTAGAAAGACTAAGCAAGGAACACCCCGACGAACCCTCCGTCATAGACCCCAAAACAGGCCGCATGCTAGGCATAGCCGTAACCCGCGGCTTCGGCGACCACCGCTGGAAATGGGATAACGAAACGGTCAAGGCGTGCCAGCACAAATTCTGGGGTACGGCGCCAAGGCCAGGGAATTTGAGCCCGCCCTATATGACGGCGGAGCCTGAGGTGCAGGAAACGGATGTTGTGAGGAGGGAGCCGCGGGATGGGATGCTGTGTGGTGATGGTAGGGCAGAAGGGGGGAAAAGCGATTTCCTCATCCTCGCTTCCGACGGTCTTTGGGACCGGATTTCTTCTGAGTATGCCGTCGAGTGCGTTTCCCGCTATCTCTCTGCGCGCGCCCGTGGCCAGGGTTCCGTGAAGCAAGACCCGGAACTCCTGCGCAACCCTCCCGTTTTCCCTCAAAACTTCTCTAGCTTGGACCCGGGTGTGACGTGCGACCCCGCGGCCGGCGAAGACGTAGACTGGAAAGCGGAGCCGCAGTATTTTGCGATTGAAGATGAGAATGCGGCGGTTTGTTTGGCGAGGAATGCGATGGGTGGGAATAGGAGGGGGTTGTTTTTGGGCGTGTTGGCGGGGCCGGAGCCGTTGAGTAGGAATGCGGTGGATGATACTACTATTATGGTTGTTTTCTTTGACAAATTAGAAGATGGGAAGGCTGGGATAGAGGGGAGTAAAAAGGTAGAAGAGAGTAGGAGTGGGGAGGGGGAGAAGAAGAAGAAGTGGTGGTGGCCGTTGTGAAGGCCGAAGCGACAGCATGGTTCATATGATGAGATATGGATGGCTTCCTAATTTCATATCAGACCTGAGATGCCTGTTGGTAGACTACAGAAAACAAAGCAAGAGAGTAGTGATGTTGATATCATCCAGTCCAAGCCGGCCAAAACAACGCCTCAAACCAAACCAAGCCATGCAAATGCTACTGATCCTCTCAACCAAAAAAAAAGATAATGATATCACAGCCCCCCCTCCGAAAAACGCAACAGTCCCGTCCTGCGTCTGAATTTCCTCATCTCCTCATCTTTCCCATCCCTACTCCTACGCCTCTTCACACCACCTACCCACCCCCGCTTGAAGCACAACCCCAACCCTTTCCAAGCCCCCCTGCCCAGACCCCAATACATACACCTGCGCGCCCACTGCCCACTCGCATAAACAACGCCATACCTCTCCCTACACACACGAATATCTTGCCGAGCCATGTTGAGAGCAAGAATACACGGCTGACCCACCTCCTAGGAATACTACTGTAGGAAATCGCGTTGGACGTTGATGAAAGCGCCAGGCCCGCCGTCGTCGGCAAGTTCGGTAACGAGGGCCTCGGTTTGTTGGATTAGGCGTTCTAGGGCTGCGGAGGAGGATTTGCCGAGGGAGACTGCGTGGGTGTTGTTGTTAGTTTGAGCGTCTTCTTCTGCATCTTCCATCTTGTACGTACCCAGTATAGCGCTATTGAGCTCCTCAGCAACAGGCGCCCTCCCCGAAATCTCCAGTAAAGGCGCCAGCGTACTCTCCCGCGCATCCGCATATGCTATAAGCGCAAACGTATCTTCGAGGGCCCGCTTGACTTCGCGTCTTGGGTCGTTGGCGAACTCGGATTTCAGCTCCATGCCATATGTTATAGTTTCGCTTGTTGCTCGTTCGCTCTTTGCTACTTTATCTTCCATGTCGTCTTCGTCTCCGACTTCCAAGTAGTCGTCTTGGTCTTTGTTGTCCCAGCTAGGTGGTGGGTTGTGTACGCCTAGTTGCTCGTCGAGCTCCATTTCGAAATCGTATTCTTCTGTTGCGGTTGAGTTGCGCTTGTTGGGATTTGAAGCGGTGGATCGTTTGGATGATGGTGCTGGTGCGGATTGGCATTGTGCGTTTAGCTCTCCGCATCGTCGGATCATCTCGATGAACTTTCGGCAGCGGAGTTTGAAGTAGATGTTTTCGTTGTCGCGGAGCACTGAGGGGTAGTATGCGGTGGTGTGCTTGAGCGCCTTGTCAATGTCGCCCTCGAGGATAGCTGTCCGTATTTCTGGGTTCTGTTAGCCTGCGTTTGTACCCTGAGGGACGAGCTTACTTTGTCGGTTCAGCGCATCCAGATCTTCCACTGCTGCTCGGTATGAAACGTCTGTCTCATCGTTGTTTGCAAGCGCTCTTGCTTCCTCGACAATCTCATCCGAGAAAGCTCGTGTAGTCTCTACATAGCCGTCGTGCGCTAGATATTGTCCCACCAGCTGATGTATCAACGCATCCTCGCCTCCCAACGCACCTGCCTCTGTTTTGGTCCGGGCGATCTCAGCTTGTATGGCGGCCTTCTCGTCTTGTACCATCTTGTCGATGTCGAAAGCGAAGGGTTCTTGGCCAAAGTTGACGCGGACCATCTCGCCGGGCTTCTTCATGCCTACAGTAGGATAGTATGGCATGTTGGGTTTCAGATCTCGGAAAGCCGTCCCTGAACCTGTTAGTACTATCTATATCCCTCACTTCGCATACTCACCTTGCATATGACCATTCTTTGTGAAGAAAGCAGTATTTGTCCGGAAGTTGATGCCACAGCCGATAACATCCAGTGTGCCAAACTTAGGCCCATATGATTTTCCGGAAGTGGTATTACTAAAGACCTGGCCATCGTCGCCATGGTACGCATACGAGTCGGGCTCCCAACCCGGTATCCTGCTGAGAGCGACTTTGGGTCCCGAGAAGCCTACTCCGATCATTCTACTGCCCGGTGAATTAGCGTGTGCATTAAAAGGTGTCAAACGTACATACCCGTCTTTCCCCTTAGAAACAACAGTAACCTCGTAGTAGTAGATCCCACACTGCCGCGGCATGGGAAAGTCCGCGCGAACCGACGCAGCTTCATCGTGTGTCTTCTGTGAGCCCGAGAATTTGGCCAGCCTCTGACCATCCTCTAGCTCAAGCTGAGGAAACCTGTCTGCGTCATTCCACCGTGTCGGCCATGGCGCTACCGGCTCATCCACAAAGACCGGCGCACGCTCTACTATCTCATGCGTGAGACCGCGATGTGACGGCGCCATCTTGTGCAGGTTGACGCTGCTGGAACTAGTAGACAGCGAGCCTGCATTCGACGAGTGCGTTGACTTGTATTCCCGCTGGGCTGCCAGCTTCGCCTTATGCGCCTCTTGCAACTTCTCGGCGTGCTTGGACCCGCGCAGGTAGGAAGGCACGAAGAACGGCGGTATATCCTGTGTGGACCCTCCCAAGCCATGCCAGTAGCCAGACTGGCTGGAGTATGAGGGCAGTGGCCCACCGGCCCTTCCGAAACTCGTAGACATATGTCCGTCGGCGTCGATGGAGCGAGAGAGGCGGTTCGGGTGCGATGTTGAGCCGCTGTTGGCGAGATGTGCAAAGGCGCCGGATCGGGTGGGTTGCTGGAATGAGCTATTGCTGCCTGCTGATGCAGCAGCTACTCTGGCGTAGCTGTCCCTCCGAGGATTCATAGTGATCGATAGTGGCGCTGCTGCCAACTACCAGCGTGTTCGGGCGGGCGTTTGGAAGCGATCGCAAAGGGCGGACACGCAGACTACGCGAGTAGTAATGGTCGAGCGGGCGGTCGTAGTCGCTGACGGGGTTTGGAGACGTCCAACAGCGCAGTGACGCGTGGGCTAGCTGTCTCTGGCGCCGAGTGAATGCGGTACTCTGTGCTGGAAGGTGCCAACGGCGAAGGCAAGAATCAACGGCACCCGGGCTCCTGTGAAGCGATCGTCACAAATGCATTCATGGTATCATCAGCGGAGGATTTGCTGCAGGAAAGCTAGCGAAGGAGTGCTGGGCAGGTTGTACGTCAATGAGGTCCATGGGCGGAGGTTTGGATGCGCCGAGCTATCGGTGGAGATCCCCGCGATCCACGGGTACGATAACGCCATCCAGGTCACGCTCATCCTTGACATTCATCATACTTTGTAGCATCAAAAGTGGGCACTCTACAATCTCAAGGCGCGAGAAGACACACTGTCACGTTGATATGCTTTGGCATGGCATGCTTGCGACACCCGCTACCGAGGTTCTCAAGATGCATGCATGGACAAGTACTTGTAGTTTGACATGGATATTCAATTCTCTCCATAATGCTATGCAAAGCCCCCTTTCCGTCTCTATCCGGATTCCATATCCGTATCCAGCATTTGTGATGTCCATTCACAACATGCTTGTGCGCCGTAAACCACGCTGCCCGTGGCAAGCCAGTGACGCCCCTGTTGGCGCCTTTTACGTAGTAATGCAATGCGCTCCCTCAACGCCAAACAAGACAAAGGAAGCAAGTCGATATAGTAAACAGGTAGCAAGAAATAAAGTAAGGTCGAGCCGCAAGAGGTGCAGGCTATAGCAGGAGTACATCAAAGGAAACGCGACCAAGAGGGTTCATCTCAAGCGGGAATAGGAGCAGGAGAGCTTGCTATGCCGTTCATGGGCGTTGGTACGGGTGTGCTGTCGCCGTTCAGTCCGCTCTTGTCGCTGATTGCGCTGCTTTCGTCTTTCAGCTTGGACTCGCTGGTGCCGGTGCTGTCGCTCTTGACGTCGTCGGCGAAAGCGCCCTTGCGGCCTGGCTGGTATGTAGGCACTTGCCACATGACGCCGGTGAAGCTGCGGACCTGGAATCCCTTCTTCTCCCAGCGACGGCATTTAGCCCCTGACCTGTCGAGGGCGCGCAGACGCTCGTTGATGGCTCCCAGGTTTGCCTTGGGGCCTGCCTTGTTGATGGCTGCGGGTGCTGGGAAGGGCCCCTTGGAGTTGGGGTCGTTGATCATGTCACCCATCTTCTTCCTCTTTGGCCCTGGCTTGGCCTTGGATGGTTTGGGGGTTGCGCCTGCGCCATTCGCGCCAGCGCCAGCTTCCATCTGCGCAGCACTCCGCTTGCTGCCGGGCTTGGGGCCCTTCCTCTTCGACGAGGGAGGGGCCAGCGACGACGGTGTGCTTCCGTTCATGTTGGGGGTTGAGTCGGCAGGCGTGGCAGCAGGTGAGGGCTCGTTAATCTGCGGCGCGGGTGTTGGTGGAGAGGGCTTGGCCTCTTCCTTGGGCGGCGTTGCAGGCTCGTGTGGAAAGTCTCGCAGAGAATCCGGTGACAGCTTGAGTGCGACGACGAGTGTCTTTGGTGATTTCGTGGTCATGTTCGCGTGCAGAGGAACGCGGCGATGATGGACTGAGATGGCTGATGTAGAGGGCAGCAGAGATGGTGGTGGTGATGGTTTGACCTGCAGCGGTGAGGAGAACAGACAGTGGCTCTGCCGGTCAGCGCGTTGGCGTGTCGGTGGCTAGGGTGAGCAGCAAGCTGGGTGAGCCGTGCTTCACAGGAAGTCGAGGTATCGTCGAGCTGATGAAGCGCGTCGATGCAAGCAGAGCGTGGAGAGATGCAGAGGGGGAGTGGCAGGGAGAGTGGGTGGTGACGAAGGCTGCCGCGAGGGCAAAGAAAGGGCTTCGCCGGCCCAGCTGGGGTGGTCGGTTTCCCAGATCATATTGGGCGGGAATCGTCGCTAACGTTTTCTCATTGTATTCCGACACTCCCAAGAGGAGGAGGGCGCACGGCCCCCAGTCACGCTAGCCGCATTTGTGCTCTGGATATCTCGCCGTCGCTGCTGGCAGGCAATTATCGCATGTGCATCGCGTTTTCCATTGCATTCTCCTGTCGGTTTTGCCCGTCATGGTGTGCTCGGCAGGATGTTGGCGTTCGACTGGCGAGGTCCGTGTGGCATCGAGCTAAATTGCGCGTTCCATGGAGCGGCGGGCGGTGCGGTAGAAGCATCGCGCATCGCCCACCCGGAGTCTGACACCAACCCAACCTTTTCTTCATCCGAGACGCTCAGAGTCTGCAGTCCATCGGACATGGTTCTATACTTGGAATACCCTTACTTCTCTAGCACTCACCGCACTGCGACGCGCCTTGCATCCTCACCCATGGTTCTATCGAGGCGCATCAGCTTGCACAGTACCGCTGACTCTCATGCATCGCCCCTGGGCCTGATCACAATCCACAACCAGGGACAACGCCTACCAACCGAGGCCGAGTGACGTTTGCTAGACCTGCCGCCGCATCCATCGTAGCCCCAGACATCCCGATTAAATCTAGACAAGTCGCAGCATTTGTGTTGCGTTAGCCTTGCCCAGAACATGTTCAAGGTCATCACCTTCAGATCAACGCCAATACAGGTTTCATCGTCGTTTGTGTGATGAAGCGACGCCGCGCCACGCCATCCGAAGTCAATCCGTGCCAATAATTGTGGACTCAAACATGTGCTACCGCCTACCATATGGAGGAACACGGTGCTACATTTTCCTCAACACAATGCGAGGTGGGTACGACACATGTAGTATGTCAAAATATGCAGTCGCAACAACATGACATTTTCGGAGCTCAATTGTATCCATCTTACTAGTCGGCAGCAGGAGCTCATTTTTCATCAAAGAGAGGATTGCTCACCTAGCAATCGCAAGGAAATCAATGTGTGTTGAATTCAAGCGATATAAAGGATGCGCAACATGTTGGGAATGTAGAGGTCAAGATCAGGACAACGCCATTGAGACGCTCGTCTGCGAAATGAAAAACATGATTGGAAACCCTTTGAGCCCACTCCGTAACGCATCATCAAACATCATTAAGTTTACTGTCACCCACGATTTAGACAAATGTCTACTTCAATCGTAGGAGCAAAGTGTTTGACCACAGAAAGCACGGCATGTTAGAAGAATATGGAACCTCATTCGCCAATATGGCATTCGAGCCGCGGTGAAGAACAAGGTAGCACGCCAACCCAGGAAAAAACTGAACACACTGGTGTCTACGTTGACGTTGAATCACCTAATCTGCAAGTTTTTGGTTTGATGTAGTCTGCAGACGTGTTCAGGTTTGTTCTTATTTGAGGTGGTAGAAATGTATTGATAGGATTTTATCCTTAGTCGTCTTCACTGTGGCGTCTTTCAACCGCTTATGCGATTGACGATGTCTTGAGTTCAAGCACACTCCATGTAGTGTTGACATGTCAGCACGCTCTTGTCGCGCGATGCGTCTCAGCACTTCCTCCCATACAGCTAGTAGCAACGATATTAGCAGCCGTCTATGCTTCGTTCATCAGCCTCGCCGTCTCTTCGTCCCGTTCACTGCAGTACCGTTAGCTCTCCTTGCCTCATCACCACTAACCGCCACCTCATCATCATTCATCCACTCCTTATTAGCGCCAGGACTGCGGCGTCTGAACTGACCAGCACCCACAGCCACCACTTCATCCTCACTATCGCTCGCCTCGATATCCAACAAAACGGGCATCCTGAACTCTGCGTCGCCAATCGCTGGTCCGAATTCCGTGGCCGAGGTCTTAACAGGGTCTACGGTGAGGACGTCGACCTCTTCGTCTTCGGCGTTTAGACGCCGCTTGTGCAGTTCTTCGAGGGGCTGGATGTCGAATTCGTCTTCGCGCTCGATGTATTCTACGTTTTCTTCTACTTCGACGAAGTCGGGGGCGAGGGCGGACCAGCGTTGGGGCTGCAGGATGGACCAGAGCCAGACGCGGCCTGAGTCTACTCCGACGGCGGCGACAAAGGGTCGGAATGGGTGCCACTCGACTACGGAGAGCTCCTCCTTGGTGCCTTCTAGGATCTTGACTAAACTGCCCTGGCCACGCTCCCAGACGTAGATGTGGTGGTTCATCCAGGTAGATGCTGTGACGTATTCGCCTGTGGGACTGAACGAGACGTGGTTCCAAGAGAGCCTTTGCACAAGATCCTGGAACTTGTGCTCGACTTCCAGCTGGAGCGTGTCAAAGTCCAACTTTGGGTCGCTCAGGTCGGGTAGGTGGAGTGTCCTGACAATACGATCGCTCGAATTGAGCACGACGTCCCTCCCTGATGGGGTCATGCGGATGTATACGATGATGTTGTTGGTGACCCTAAACGAGTAGCGGACGGCGTGTGTCTCGGTGTCTATGATGTTCAACCACCCCTTGTTGGTGCCTGCTATGATGTGTTGGCCCGTCGGTGTAAAGAGCGTCATAGTGGTCGTCTGCTTGGCGTCTTGCGCCGTCTGCTTTTCGGAGGCATTCTCGCGTTCTATGTCGGTTCGATGGGGCGCGGACGAGAGGGAGTGTTTGACGGGGACTTCGTCGGACATGTCGACGATGACGGGCTGGTCTTCGAAGAGGGCGGCTACAAAGAGCATGCTGGACAGCAATTAGACAAACATATCCCTACGTGATATGTAAGCACTCACTGGTTCTTTGGGTGCAGCTCCGCTATGAAGATGGCCGCTTCAAAGCGGACGGTGCGCACCCGTGAGCCATCCTTCAAGTCCCAGAGCACGCACTTCCAGTCCTGTCCGGCGCTCAGAAGATAGCGATCGTTGGTCGACCAGCTAAGAGACTGGACCTGGCGCGTGTGGCCGCGCAGCTTGCGCGCAACGCCGTTTGTCTCAATGTCAAAGATGACGACGATGCCATCGTGCTGGAATCCAATCAGC